AAAAGATTGCAAATTATATGAATCAGGAAAGCAAGATGAAGGAAGCGAATTCCAAAGAACTGATGTTCGAGGAAAAAAACTAGACGAATAAGAGTTTCAGGAACAGTAACAGAAAAAGGATGAGACTTAATTAAATGACGAGTAACACAAGAATAAATTTTGGTAGATGGCACATGAGACACTAGCTCTTTCGAGCAGTGCCCATTATAGTATTTGAAGAAAAGAGAAAGAGAAGCAACATTACCACGATGTGACAGAGGTTGAAGGTTGGCTGCAAGAGCAGGTCCAACTATGTTTACAATGCGTTTTTGCACCTAGTCTAAGAAGAGAAAGGGCATCATTAGAAGATCCGCCCCAGATATGGCAACAGTATTCCATACAAGGCAGGATCTGGATTTATAGAGATAGAATCCAGAGTAAAAAAGTGACGAGCTCGATAAAGAGAAACAACTTTAGCAGATGCTAATTTTGCAACGGATTTGATATAAGGTTTCCAAGAAAGATCAGAAGTAAGAGTTAATCCTAGAAGATGAAGGGTAGGAGACTCATCGAGTACATTACCGTTCATAAATATAGGAAGGTCTAAACTATTGTGATATTGATTGGCCAAAAAAAATTGAGTTTTATCTGAATTAAAGTTCACCAGGCACTGTAAGCCCTATGCTGTAGCAGAAGTGAGATCCTTTTCAAGCTTAGATACCCCCTGCAAGCAATCAGAGGGAGTTGGCTTCTTATCGTGACAAGAATAAATGGTAGTATCATCAGCGAACAATGCCACCTTAGATGTGAGAATATCTGGAAGATCGCTAATGTAAATTAAAAAGAGTATAGGGCCAACAATTGAACCTTGAGGAACCCCTGAGGTTACAGAATAAGAAGAAGAGTGCTGTTCATCAAGGACAACTTTTATACTATGATTGGAAAGAATGGATTCAATAATCTTAAAGATGTTTCCAGATACACCATAAGAAGAAAGCTTATGGAGAAGACCAGCATGCCAAACTTTATCAAACACTTTAGAATGTCAAGAGCAATGGCCTTAACCTTTATCTAATGCACAACAAAACCTATCGGTTATTACTGTTAGCAAATCATCCGTAGAACAAGAAGATCGAAATCCATATTGATTATCAGAAAGTAGGTTATGAGATTCGAGATTAGAGATTAAGTGTTTGTTAATTAAAGATTCAAAAACTTGCTTATGATAGGAAGAAGACTAATGGGACGGTAGTTAGACAAATCGGATCGCTCTCCAGAATTTTCAAAAATAAGGATAACAGATGCTGCTTTCCAGCAGGCTGGAAAACAAGATTCTGATAAGCACTTGTTAAATAGTTTTGAATAGGATAGACAACAGCTCCGGAGAACACTTGTGCAAAACTATAACAGGTATGTTGTCCAGGCCGCAAACTATAGAAGAGTCTAAGCGGGAAATCACTTTAGATACAGAAGCTGGAGTGATACGAATGTCGAGCAATGGATCAACCTGCTTGATGGCTATATCAGGTAGAACGCAACTAGTGGCATCAAGAGAATATATTGATGAAAAGTTCTTGGCAAACAATTTAGCTTTGTCTTTAGGTGAGGTGACAAAGTCTGAACCATACAAAAGAGGTGGAACTACAGACTTGCTCTTATTACTGATACTATTAAAGATTCTCCAGAAGTCACAAGAGCCTAATTTTTGTGATGAAATACGAGATTTCATGATCTGAGAATAGCGGGTTTTGGTGTTAGACAAAACCTTTTTACAATGGTTCTTAGCAGTAATAAACAGACGTAAGTTTTCTGGAGAATTGTTTTGCTGATAGATATGGAAGCAATGGTTTCGATTAGCAATTGCAGCAATACAATGTGAGGAAAACCATGGAGAAGAGTGAGGCTTGACCTGAATTCTTACGAATGTAAATGCCCAGGCCAAGCATGTGACTATTGGAGTCTTTACGAATTAAAGGAAGATAACCATCAACACTAAGATCACAAGATGAGACAGCTGAACTCAAATTAGTCTTACAAAGAGCAAGTAGGACTGGTGAACTTTGCAAGAGATAAGACTCAACAGAAGAAAAGTTACTTCGAAGACCACGAATATTGGTGAATGATAGGTTTAGCCAACTTGGTGATGACTGTGGTTTTTTGTGTTTTATAGTTTTTGTTACTTTATTCATTTTTAATTTTGTTAAAGAACTTGACTCGAAACATAGATAGTACTCAGTACACTGTTTTATAGCCCAAGCAATTGCCTCATTTCCACTAATAAACCCTAAGCCGTAACAAAGGGCTCCAATGTGGCCTTGGCAATGCACACCAAAAGTACAAACAGGGACACCATCCATGCGCAACATGACACTGTTAGTACTCTGATATTTTTCAGCTGTTGATGGAATCAGCCTCTCTGAGAGCTACCACAGAGTTCGGGAAACCTGACTACCAGCCAGCCTCAGAACCATAAAACTGAATTTTAGAGCTGTACCCTCATTTGGAGATAATAGAATGAGTTGCCTAGTCATAAAAACAGAGACAAAAACAAATCCCATGAATTGAGTCAAGAAGATCCAGCGTTTAACATCCTAAACTGGAAACAATGTGTTAAAAATACATCTGCGCCAGCCTAAAAAGGCATATCCTACAAGTCAGCAGGACATGAAGCAGATTGTACTGGGTTACATGTTACCAGTAGCAGGATAAACCTGACCTGACATGTGCTTTGTGATATGTGATAAACCTGACCTGTGATATGTGATAAACCTGACCTGACATAAATGAATTATTTTTTACAAAAATCTCTTTACAGAAACGTCAATTAAATCCTTACTAAAAATCTTTGATTGGCATTTATAATACTTTTTTGCTAATGATGGAATATTTTGATAAGATCGTGAAAACGCATGGCTCACTGATTTTGGCAGTTTCTTTGATGTAAAACAAAAGGTTGCACGCCCATCTCTTATATGTCCATGGTATAACACTTGCTGAGTCCAAATCAAATAAAATACATTTAGTTTATATATTTTTCATTTATTATTGTATTTAGTTTTTTTATATTTATTATTTTGTATTTTGAATTATATAGTTTAAATATTTTACATTTATATTATATATTTTGTCAGATCAAGGTTTTAATTTTAGTTCCGTGTTTGAACTTTTTTCGATATTTCTTAATATTGAAAAGCATCTATAACATTTTTTGAGGATGCAGATTTTTGTGGTTCATATCAACTCGAATAAAAAAAAATTATATTATAACATAATCTTGGTAAGTGAAGAAAGGAAACCACAAATATTGAATAATTTGAACAACTTACATAAATTTTTCTTAGATAAAGTTTGAACTGGATAAATTGAGTTGTTTATTAGTAATTAACAAAAAAACAACAAAAATTCTTTTCTAAAATTTAAATATTAACTTTTTGCTGTTTTTAAAAACTAAAAGTAATAAAAGATGAAAAAAAAAAACTGTTTTAAAGTGAACGGAGATATAACAATTATATTATTAAATTAAAAAAGTTTAATGCATATTTACTAAATTATTAAATTAAAAAAGTTTAATGCATATTAACTTAACTTTATTTTACTTAAATCTTTTAATTTTTAGATATTTATTTTTTTAGATATTTATGACAAGCAATAAAAAGATTATTTTCTCATTACGAAATGTATTTGTTCATTTTATTTTTATTTTGTATTGTTGAATGTCAAAGACAAGTGACCAGGAGAATTTTTTTGTGTGGCTAAATTGTGGCAATTACACATATTCATATACAGTTATATCATATACATGACTATATTTGAAAAAATTACAATTATAAAAATATTAATAAATGAGACATTTTTTCTATAAACTTGATTATTTTCTTTAATAATTTTTGGCAATTTAATTTCTAAAATTTTGTTTACACAACTATTTGTTATAGATGGCAGATCAATGGTACATAAAAAATGATATGATGGAATCCAACTTATGTCATACTCGCAAGCTACATAATCCATATGATTATAAATAACCTGCTTCACCACCAGCCCATTTGGTATCTGCACAAGTTGATCACTAACAAAACCTTAATAGGTTTTGTTAGTGTTTTGGCACTGATTTAAGCTTAATACTATTAAGAGGAGGTTTTATATAAAACTTTAATATAAAAACTCCTCGTCTTCTCGTTTTAGCCTACTCCAGGAACACAATAATTATAATTTATAAATTTATTATTGCCCTCAAAAAGACTTTAAAATAACATTTTACAATTAAAATTAGAATATAGCTAATTTTATCACAAATAAGTAAGCAATAAATTTTATGCTGACTCAGTTTTACTTAAATAGCTGTATTTCTAAAAGTCAGAAAATGCAATAATATATTTTTGATTATTAGTGATGTTTGATACCTATATTGTAATAATGTCTCAAAAAAATAATCAAGGTTACATCACTATTTTAAACATCAAAATACTTCAAAATATATGCTTTTACTATTCAATTTACTGGTATTTAAGTGGTCTAAAAATACTTTTAATTTAATATTTATGGAATATAAAATCAAAAATATGCCACGTTGAAGATTGTCTATATACCAAATTTTAGGATTACATACCTCATTTTGTTCATAAAATATTGATATTTAACTACTGAGTCATACTAATAATGCTGAGTCAGCATAAATAAGAAAATTGAATCAAGAACCATAATGAGGTTCAAAATGTCAGATTCTCTTAATTTTTATTAAACCTATAACATATAAAAAAAATAAGTAAAGTAGAAAACATGAGCTGGCACTTTTTGCTTCTTTTTCTTATGGTGTCTAAAACGATGTCTGAGTTGTACTAAAGTGAAAACATAAGCACATCCCTTTAATACCAAAAATTACACACATGGCTGTAATTAATAGAGACTTTAGTAAGCTTTTATTATTAAGAATTCAACTCTTATTATTTTGATTTTTTGAGTATTTTTTGAGTTATTAATTTTATTTTTGAAAATTTAGAAAAATAAACTTAAGAACTTACGCTTTAATGTTTCTGTAACCAAAGCAAACAACAATTTCTTATTTTGAAAACGACTTGAAAAGCAAAGGCTTTTTATTGAAGATTCTTTCTTGAGGGCTTTTTCGACAACATCTGATGCTGCATTGTATAATTTTATAAAACTCATTTTCTATTTTTTTCTGAAAATATCAAAAAAAAAAAAACCAAGCTATCAATATAATTATCAAATCACTATTGTATTATTTACTTTAATTTAAAATTTAATAGATAAATTTGTATATAAACTTAAATAGATAAATAACTTAAATAGATAAATTTGTGATTCGTATTTTTTTACAAATTTAATTATAATTGATTTTGACAAAAAAAAAAATTAATATAAGTTAAAATTTAACTCAATACAAGTTCAAATTTAAATCTTTTTAAAATTCAATGCAATTAATAGCTTATTTCAAATAGCTTTGGTTTAATTCTGCTTACATGTTTGCTTTTGAATTATTGGAAAACACTTTTAATTGCACAAGTCAACAAATTTTTTTTTTTTTTGTCGAACAAGCAATACATTTTTTGTAGAGTATTTCTGATTTTGATTTCAAATATGTAATTAATTTTTTAACATCATGTCAAGTTGTAATGATATTTGGTTCAAATCTTAGTATTTAGGGTAAAACACTAATATTGCCCCCCCCCCCCCAAAAAAAAAAAAAAAAAAAAAAAAAAACTATTCCATAATATGTCAACCTGAGTTTCAAAAGAAGCATATTTTCATAGAGATTTAAAATTTATTTTTCAAACTAACACAAAAAATATATCAATAAATTTTACATTTTTTTTTTTATTAAAAAAAAAATGTAAAATTTATCAATATATTTTATGTTAAATTAATTACCTATATATTTTATATAAGGTAATTAATTTAAGGTAAGTAATTTTAATTAGGCAGATGCTAATTTTGCAATAAATTATATTTCCTGGAGAGATCAGTATTTATGAACAATCTAAAAAAATGTAAAATAGAGCAGAGTGTGCAACTAAAAAGATTGAACTTTTAACAATCGAAAGAAAAAACTTATTTTTTTAAATATAAATGATATAATACTTTTATGCTTTGAGAAACATTTAAATTTATTTTGAGAAAAAAAAATTAAATTATTAGTCAAATCATAAAGTCACTTACTTCTATTACAAGTAAGTGACGAGTTGTAATTACTAAACTAATAGTAAATACTAATTTAAATATAGATATGATCATGTAATTTTTATATAAACCATGATTATGTAACACTATATAATAGCATGTTATTTAAGTCTTATTCTACATTTAAGTTTAATATAATTTTTTGAATATAAAACCAATTTTGCTTTTTAATATTTGAAAACCATTTAACCATATTATCCCTAGTAATATCTTATTTTTGTTGCTTTAGTTATACATTTCTGTTGCTTTAGTTTTTTAAAATTATTATAAAAAATTGCTATATAAAAAAAATAACTTCTCGTAATTTTTTACAAAGGTTTTAAAAAACAATCCTTAAAGAGTTGTTGAAAGATTTGCCATCAGACTTACAATAAAAGGTTTAGATAAATGATCAAATAATTATTCATTAACTTAAATTTTTTTTCAAAGTTTTTAGCTTTATTTGACTTTTGGAATTTTAAAATGTTTACTTGATTTGAACCTTAATTTATTTGAAGTTTATTATAATTTATCATAAGAATTTTGTAGAAACGATCGATTATCACTTGCAACCAATTAAATCGCACGACTATAAAATATATGAAAAAAAAAATTTTCTAAATTTATTATAGTTTTAAATTTATAATATTTATAATATAGTTTTAAATTTATAATATTTATAATATAGTTTTAAATTCATAATTGTGTGGCGGTAAAAGCTGCTTATTAAAGATTATATTTTCGTATAGTAGTCGGAAAGAATTACGAGTTGACCCGGAGAAAAATAGTATAAAGTTAAAATTTTGCATAGAAAAAGTATACAGTCTATGGATGAGCTTAAAAAAAAAGCCCCGTTGATTGCGCTACAGGAACATCACTTTTGGGGCATTTTGGGGCAAAAAATAGCCCAATTTTGACAGCATTTTAATATCATAAAAAATATATCGTTGGATAGAAAATTTTATGCTGATCAAAAAATGAAGCCATTTGATAAACGTCATTCGAATTTTTGCTTTCAAAAGACAAAATTTTTACTGCTAAAAATTTAATCATTTTTTATGTTTTCATAACAATTTTTTTCAATGAAACTTTTTTAGTATGGATGGAGTAATTCATTTTTATTACAAAAAAATTTTGCTTCGTATTGAAATGTAAAACTTACAAGTTAAACAATAACTGTTACATGTGGTAAAAGTAATAATGAAAAAAATGAGTGCAGTTTGTGAATTGTGCAAGCTTGGTTTTGACAAATAAAGTTACATTAAAGTATATGAAAAAGGTCTCAAAACTTTGATTCGATTAAGCGAAGAAAGGAGTATGAATGAACTATAGTGGTTAAAGGTTGTTCAAATAAATAATCTTACAAAGAAGATTTTTTGCGCAGTTTGTTAAAACTTTAGTTAGCACATAATTACTCATATTCAATAATGACGTTTTGCTGAATTTTTTTTTTTCGTTATTTAGATACCCCATAAAATCATTACGGTCTTGTCAAAGAGCACCGCCAAAGTGTGTAACCAGGAAAATCACGCCTCCTTCTTTACCGTGCACAGTGGGCCAGAATTTTTTTTCCGTGGCCAAAAGTCCCAAAAAAGTCAAATCTTCTAAACTTTTTTTTTATTTCATTATTGAAACAAAGGTGCTTTACTCCATTCAAAAATGTATCCGCTTAATTACTAGAGATGAAGGCAAGCTTGCTAGAACCATTCATAATGGCTTTAAAATTGTCAAATTTTCGCAAATTTTTTTTTTTCAAAAACACTTATCCTCAAAATTTACACTTATCCTCAAAATTTAGCTTTCGACTATTTTTATTTTAAATAAACATTTTAAATTAGTGCTTATAAAAAGTATATGTTTTAGTTATACATTAGTATTTAATTTATTCATAATATGTCTTAGAATTGTTGGCATTTTAGAGGTGTTTTTCTAAATTTCCTCATCTTCCTTTTTCTAAATGCCACTCGAAGATTGTTTAATTTTTTGATTTTTGCATTTACTAAACGGCAGTTATTGTTCAAAAAAAAACCCATATGCGACCATGTATTCTTTATGATATATTTTTTAGTTCAAAATCGACGACTTATTTTGCTTTTATAAAAAGACCAATTTAAAGTTAATGTATTTGTTTAAGGAATATAGTTTTTTTTTTTTTAATTTTATTAAACTTATCAAACCGTTATTATTTAAAATAAATTTTATTTTATTATTTTAATATTTTCAAAAAAGGAAAAAAAAAGAAAATCATTTCACTATAAAAGCGTAAAAATTGAATATTTAAGTACTCGATTCCAACTAAATGCCGCTCTCTTGAAATTGGAATTAATGATATTTAGGAAGTATAACGGTTGTTTAATGCTATTTAAAAAATCAGCTGCGACTAGCTGTAACTTAGACTTAAAATCGATTTTGAAATTTCAAGATTTTAGACTAATTTCATTCTTACTTTACAATGCATTGTGACGTGAAAAAAATTATTTGTCTGAAAATTTGAAGTTTATATGATATTGAAGACTAATTAGTTAATAGTTGCAGCGATTTGATTAAAAAATTGTAACGTTAAAAACTTTAAAAAGCCTTAAACATTAAAAATTAACGTAGACACTGTAAGAAAAGTGAAGTTAGACACTTGCATATACAGTAAGGGTTAAAAATGATTTAAACTATTAATCATTAACATCCTTCATATAGACTTTTAGTAAACTACATTAACTATATTTTATATTGGTAATATTAAATAATTATTTAAAACTTAGAATTTATTTTTTATTGCTCAAGGTTATAATTTTATTTCTATTTCACAAATTAGTGCACATAATAATTTCGAAAAAATCAAATGGTAGAAATAATATAAATAAAATCTTAGTCAGTGTATTCAAAGTCAGCATAGTAATAAAATGGCAAATCAGTGTTTTCATTTTCAGATGATTCGATAATATCATTGCGCTTATTTAAATTTCTTATTTCATTTATGTTTATTGGCTTTAGTTCCTCATTTCTATCATCAAAATCATCATCTAATCCAACTCATTATATTATTCATCCGCATAAATATCGTCATTAGCATCATTTGTATTTTTCTCTTCAGTTTCTTGAAAAAGAAGATTAACTGCGTCTCCATCTAGATTCATTTTTTTATGTTTACATTTCGATCTTGCATAGTTTAGAGATAAAAGAATTGGGTCACTCGAAAGCATTAAATAATCGAATTGGTCCGTCATTGTAGCTTTTCGATCAAATTTGAGAGTGTGTTGTAAACAAATATTTTTATTATCTTTATTCCGAGCTTCAATTGCTTCTTCAGATTACATTTCAATTGGTAGCATAAATCTAGATATTGTCAGACTACTATGAATGAGTAGTTTGTGTACTGAGGCTGACATGTAAAACCATGAGTACTCTCGAACAAAAATATTTGCTGTTTCCAAACAATATGTTTCATACTTGGCTATGTTAATTTTTTTATTTAAATTAAAGACAGATAGAATAATGTATAGTCTGTATATTAAATCATTCTTGACTCCTGTTACTCGCAAAAACTATGCTTGCTGATGAAAGGCACGACGAGCAGTATTGCCATCATTTGATCTCGCAGATCCGCCTTGAAGAGGCATGTCAACAATAAGACCAACTTTTGCAAACTCACGCTCAACAAATACTTTTTTTACAGCTGCTAATTTTATATTTTCAGGTCTACGTATTTGCCATTCTTTAATATCAAGTCTATAACTTATATGTAGAGTACACTCAAAACATCAAATCCATGTATGTAATGACGATAACCCAAACTCTAAGCTTTGCAAATCTGTTGAACGGATCAGAGCCTTATCTAAGTTGTTCATTGATCTATGTGTACATTTGCTAATATTACAAATTTGAGCCGATTTATTGTCACAAATTGCATTAACTGCTTTTCCATCAATCATTGTAAGTTTAAAACTGAATCTTACTTCAATTTCACGCTTCTTTTCAGCTTCTGGTTCCATTATTTCTAATTAATAATCATTGC